GTCTAGGCAAATGGTGTCGCCAGGTCGACAACTCGACATCCATTGGCCATATACAATATATTTTGTGAAAAATTTGCAAATGGTATCGTATACTTATACAGTTATTATACCCTTGTTGTTAGTGGGTCGACTCAATAATGTTATTGTGAAGCCTCAACTGGCTCATCAAAACCTCCAAAAGGAACCAGGACTTTTAAGTTGGTAGAATTAGAAAAGGTTCAGTTGGAATATGACTCTTTTCATAGAGATTATTTGAATATTTCTGGATATAGATTTTATTGGATTACACTTTTTTCACAGTGTTGTTCTAACCGGGTTATGAATTTTTTTTCTCCCTAATTTATAAACAGTGACATGTAATTTGTAAGGTAGGGCCAAATGTCACAAATCTTTGTCAAATCCTTGTTTTCTTGCAATGGCTTAAACTATGCATGATAATTAATCTAAATATTTTAAAAGTTTCTATAATCACAATTTCAAAAAATTGTCATGTGTCACTTAAAATCATTGTTGACATGTGTTTTTTTTCCTTTTTCTCTTATACATTTATATTTTTACTTCTTATTCTTATTCGTAATTTTTCATTTTTCGTTTTTTTATTTCTTAACCAAAGCCGATTTTAAATACATTTTTAAATAAAATATTCGAATAAGGTTCACACTCTTAAACATTTGGTTTAAAAATGAGAGTATATAATAGCACACCATAATAATATTTTCTCATATTTCTTATGTTTTATTTATGGTTCATATATATTTTTCTTATATTTTACTTATAATTTGCTTATATTTTACTCATGATTCACATATAGTTTGCTTAAAATTTTCTTATATATTTGGAGTGCATAATAAAATCAAGAATAAGCCCTTTTTCATTTGAATTTGTAAAGGAATTCATAAGTATACGAAATCTACTTCCACTTTTATAAAATATTCACCTAAATGTAAATTGAACCGATGCAAACCAATTTTTTTTTTCAGTTTTAAATTTGAACTAAGAAAATACTTGAAAACTACAAAAATTTCTATACCTGATTATTCAAATCAAACTCTTATTTTGTTCAACCAAACCACATTCATCAAAAAAGTATTTTTAGTTTTAATTAGAAAAACACTTTAGATATACAAAATGCACGCTATGAATTGAAATTAATTGATACTTATTATTTTGTCATAATAAAATATAGTAATCCAAACCAAACTCAAACTTAAATCAAATCTATTTTTTGTTTCTTTCGAAAAATCAAATACTTGAATCGAACTAAGTCTAAAAATCGAATATATGTGAATATATTAACATTAGTATTTTGAACATGATCATTTTTATTCCATATACTAAATATAATTTGGGGAATACTGTATGCTTTGGGAGGTTTAAATCATCTGCCACTAAAGATTTATGGAGCTAAAGTGACGATGAACGTGTGGCAGCCTAGAGTAGAACAAGTTACTGTGTTCAGTATTGACGCAGGCTGGCAGGTTATATAAGGACAACCAACCCAGATTCTTCATATTCTGGACGGTATGTTAAATTCAATTTGCTTTTTTACTATTGACAAACAATAATATTAAGTCCCAAAGATACAATTGTTAGATTAACAAATACTACTTGAATTCATTTGAATATGTTACAAGATAATGATTTATAATTTATATTATATAAATTGGAAAGGCTTGAAAGACATATTGATTTATGTTTGTTATATGTCTATGCAACCTGAAATTTGATTCTTTAATTTATAAAATTATTGATTTATTAATCATCTTGAATTACATTTATCATTTGATTTTTAATTATTCTAAAGGGCTATATAAAAATATATGATGAGATCCCCCTATAACTAATTTTTTGAAAAAATCCATCATATAACATGATAATGTTATTTAATCTCTCATACCATCACTAATTTTTTTCCCTTTCCTCATACCATGTTTATATAGAGGTTTATAATTTAAATATTTGGGTTTGGGCTTAGTATTTAGGATTTAGGGTTTAGATTTAGTATCAAAGGTTTAGTATTTAAGGTTTAATTAAGTTATAACTCATTTTTTTATAACGTCTAAGAGAACAATTACAAGGATAATTAGATAATTAATTATTCTATCAAGATCCATCTTTATATGAACCTATGATGAATAGCTATCTTGCACCGTTCTGGAAATTTTCTTTATCTGTTCTTGCCTTCTTTCAGGGCCGGCTTAGAGGGGTGTGCAACGGTGCGGTGCACAGGGGCCAATGCAAAAAAGGAAAAAAAAGTTAAATACTAAGGGCCTATTTTTCAGAAAATGTCAATTTTTTATATGTTAAAGGGCCTATTTTCAGAAAGATTATAATTTTTTATATGTAAAAAGACCTAATTTTTTTAATGTTGCACATAGGCATGTCGAATCTTTGAGCCGGCCCTGCCTTCTTTATGCGAATCTTCCTCCAATAACCTGCAGAAATCGCATCTTCTGGGGATTGAAACTCATATCTCTTGGTGTAGAAGCCATTAATAAACATTTAGCCAACCACTGGGCTAAGGAGGCTTCCACAAGTTATAACTCAAAAAAAGATTTATAATTTAAATATTTGGGTTTGGTTTAGATATACAGTTTAGGGTTATTATTTAGGATTTATGGTTTAGTTTTGAAAGTTTGAGGTTTAGTTTTGATGGTTTAAAGTTAATTTTATGTTTATGATATGGTTTAAAAAATGGTATGACATGGAAAAAAACTCTATGAATCCACTCTTCTTCACCACTGAGACGGTTCTCGCAAGCACATCCGGTCCTTTGGGCATCGACTTTTTCGGCAGATATCACATCCGGTCCTTTGGGCATCGACTTTTTCGGCGGATCTGGCATCAGAGTGGATCTCAACCCCTCCTTTCACGTTGAGACTTTGCACGCTCTTTGATAAACTCTAAATAAATAAATAAACAATAGCCACACTACAAATGTAGTGTCAGAATTTTAAGTGACGTAAATTCCCTTCTTTATACTGTTATTCCTTCAAAATTATTAAGAAAATTAGGAGGTGACCCGCGCTTCGCGCGGGAATTTATATTATTGTGTTAATTTTATTGTTTTTCGCAAATTTAATTTATTTATGTGGTTTATTATTGTTTCAAAAATATTACACATATTAATTAAAAATAATTAGGGTTAGGCAAAATTAACGTACCGTCTTGTCCCATCGTATCCCATTTCGTTCATTTTCATCATGTCCGTTCTTTCCCATCCCATCCTTCCTGTCTGTCCCATCCCGTCCTATCCCATTATGTTCCTTTCCATTTTGTTATGTCCCATCATGTTCTTCTGTTTCTTCTCGTCCGTTCCCTAAATATAACTAAGGATAGACAAAATTCCGTATAGTCCATCCCGTCCCATTTAATTCCTTCTCATCTTGTCTTGTTCTTTCCCCCTCCCGTTCCATCCTGTCCGCCCTATCGAGTCTCATCCTATTATGTTATGTTTTTTTTTTCGTTTTGTCGTGTCTTTGTCCTGTCCCTAAATATAATTAGGGGTAGGTGAAATTTGTCCCGCCCCTTCTCGTCCCATTATGTCCCTTCATCCCGTCCTGTCCAATCCCGTCTCATTCCGTTTTTTTCATCTCGTCATGTCTAATTTGTCTGTCTCGTCCCGTCCAGTCTTATCCCGTTTCATTATGTTTCTTTCCGTCTTGTCTTGTCTCATCATGTTTATTTCGTTTTTTTATATTCCGTCTCTAAATATAATTTGAAGTAGGCAAAATTATGTGGTATCTCATTCCTTTCCGTTCTTTATATCTCATCTCGTCATTTAATATAATAAGAAGTGGACAAAATTCATTTCTTCTCACCTTATGTTTTTTTCGTCTCATCATGTCTGGTCTAGTCTTATTTCATCCCAAAATACTTAAAAAATTAGTGTTCTTTATATAATATCTTGACATTTACGTAAATATATAATCTAACAAAAATAAATTTACTAAATAATAGTTTTTGTAGATCTATACATAATCTTTCTCCTTTTTTTAAATGATTTTTCATATTCTTGTTAAACTTATTATAGTAATGAATGCTAATTATTATGAAATTAAAATATTAAAAAGAGAAAATATAATAAATTAAATAAAGTGCTGACGTGGCAAATTGGAAAACTTAGAAGCAACATTTTCTGCTGACGTGGCACCATGATGACAGGATTTGTGTGTGGGTGTGAAAGATATGATATGAAATGTGGTGGAATGCAACAGTGGTATATAAGATGAGGTGGTAGATGCAAAACACAAACACAATCACAATTCCCCTTAACCATCATAGTCATTATAGTATAAGGGGTATCAATCCAATGGGTGAAATTGTCACTCTATGAGAATATGCAATAACCAGGAAGTCAAGCAACAGTAAATGAAATGGGGTAACACTAACAACCTAATGAAATGAAATGCAATGCAATAAAAGAAAGAAAGCAGTAAAGCAAGTAGCTCGACCAAGGACTCGAGTCGAGTGGAACAGAGTACCGAGCTCGATCGAGTTGAGGGTCGAGTTGAAGTAAAAAGCAATAAAGGCAGTGACTTTAACAAGCTAATGCGAATTAGGGTCTAAGACAGGGTTTTACAATCAGAGGAAGGCTATACTTAATCAATCTTGCTCTCAAACAACTTGTATCAAGGTATCTCTTGATATTGAGCTTCTCAATGCCTAGCTAACCCTTTCCCAAGGTGAAAGCTATCAACCAAGACTTGATCTCAGAAACAGGGGGTTAGCCAGTGAGAATCAAGCCTTGGAGGCCATAGGATCATTGCTCAAACTAATCCATCCAACCCCTATGAACTCCATTTCGAGAGCAAGAGTTATTGGAGCTCTTAGTGGACCTTTTCCAAGCGATTTCCATCACTTCCATGTGGAGAATCGCCTAATGACATACAAGCCAGGGGTAGTGGTCATGTAGCCTTAAGGTTTGTCCAAAAGAGAGAGATTTCTAGATTAAGAACATAAGCAAGAAGGATTAAGCATAAAGATCCTCTAATCTAGCCCATCTCACCCTAAGGGAACTACTCACTACACATGAATGTAAAACAAGCAAATGCAATAAAAACAACATAATATGAAAGAGGAGATGAAGATAAACAACTTTTATTGAAATAAGCAAAGTGCAAATACAGAAAGATAGACCAAGATCTAAGGATTCAAGAGCAAGAGCTCAAGAACACAAAGATGGCTTAGGGTTCAAAAAGTAAAAGACAATAAATTAAAAGAAAGCTAAAACAATAATCTAAAGCTTGGTGGTTTTTTCGTGGCTTTTAGCCTTTAAATACAAGAGGATTTAGGTTTAGGGTCAAAGGAAGTCAAGGGGGAAGCAACATTTTTCGGGTTTGACTTTGACTTCTCAGCTCGATCGAGTTGAAGCTTGGCCGGTCGAGTTGAGGAACTCGACCGGATGGTCGAGTGGTGGTCGAGCTGGTCTTCAAGATGGCTTCCTCCTTCTTCCTTTGCGTATCCAGTTGAGCTGCGTCCATGCACCAAGTCCTTCCTACTCCTCACGTCCCATATGCTCCAAAATGCTCCAAAAGACCTATTTCAAGGACCAAACATGCATATGTATGCAAATGCAACCTAAAACTACTATGAATGCACAAGAAGAGAAAAGGAACAAGATATGATGCTAAAGGATGCTAAAACTATGCAAAAGATGCATAAAAGATGTACTAAAACCATGTAAAATGCAAGTACATCACACCACCAGAATAGAATTGCATAAACTTTATATATATAGATAGATTGCAAGCTCATCTCATAGTTTTCCCCATAAATATCAAAACATCAAATCCTCCTTGATCTTCTTCCTCACTTGATTTGAAACTCCGTTTGCGAGGCGAATTCCCCTGATCTTCTTGGTCACTTTGTATCTCCATTTTGTTTGAGATCGTATAAGGTTCCATTCTGAAATCTCTGGATCGAAGCAAAATTTTGTTTGATTTCCTGTGAAATTTCTCGCATAAAAATGTTATTAAGGTATAGATTTGGTAGGGTTTTGTTCTGTTTCTGATTGATTAGAGATTTTCAGTTACAAAAAAAGGGTTTTCGGTGGCAAAATCTCAATTGTGGAAGCAGACTTTGCACACACTAACATAACATCGATTTACGTATAGGGAGGCTATAAACTATGGCCTATCAACACAATTGCACAAGGGACCTAGAAGAGAATGCGATTCAAAAATAACTAAAAACTTGCCTACAACCCAAAGATAAATCACACATAACTCAAGGCACACACACTCGATCGATATTGAAACCTTAATTGTGAAAGATAACACTGAAACGCACAAAACCTTACAAATGTAGACAATTCACCAAAGATAGGTGGAAAGAATCAGTCTGACTCAATCATATGCTAAATTTCACAAACTTTTGATAAGACATGAACATATAATCAGAATTCGAAATTAACAATTCACAATGCTTTCTCATCTAGATAATGGATACATGGCTTGCTTATGCACCCGTTAAGAACAATCCTGAGGATGGTGCTAAGGTTAAAATACGCAACGATTAATAAAGCACGTTTCTCTTTATTAATCAACTTTTTGTTATTTATTTATCTGCCAAATATGAATGATGGTGCCTTTTCCTCTGTTTTACAAAACCTTTAAAATTGTCAAAACAAATCTTCTCCATGATGGCTTCTAGTCTCTAAAGCAACATTTTTGTTTCTTTGGTTTTACTAATTCCTCTGGCTGGTGTCAGTGGAAGAGCCAGTGAAGAACGGCCAAGAAGTTGAATTATGGTCTCGTATCGGTATCACATGGAAACCCAAGTGGGGAATGATGTTCTCCGATATCAAAACGAAAGTCTCAGAGATCAACGATGGCTATTATGGGTCGTGGCCTAGTTATTGAACATCTTTCCTTGGACGGTGCTCTTATTGTAGATTCCATTGATGAGGCAGAGGTATGCAATGTGTTCTTGAAAGAGTCATATCCATTGTTAACTCTTATTGTAATTATCATCATATAGAAAGACTTACGTGATATGTGAAAACAGGTGAAAGTAGGAGGTTTGATCAAGAACAATGGTTGGACCATGGAAACCGTTGATTACAAAGACAGACGAAATAAGAATCAAAGGTTTTAGATTCCGCAAAGTGAAGATTAAAAATAAGTTCACTCAACCTGGAAACTTTTCTGTGGATGATTGAATTAATTTTTCTAATGGAGGGCTTTATTCATTGTTCTTTTTTTCTTTTTTTTTTTTGTAGAGCTAATATACTGGAATTTCAAGATATCCGGATCCAAGTTACAATTACATATTACTGAAGTTATAATTTTTTAATTTTCGAATTTTATTTCTTCATCATAAACGTTTTAAGACATTCTTAGCACATCGATCTTTCGAATTACAAAAAAAATACAACACTAATCATCGAATATAAAATCAATATTTTAATTGAGGTGGTGTTGGTCTAGATTGTCGTTGTGGGAGACCGCATTTCGTCAAACATTCTTTGTAACAAGGTTTGTTCTGATTGCCACAATTTATAGAACAGCTTCTGAAGCAAACAAATCTTGGATCTTGCGTTGGTGTGCTTTCGTCAACATTCGTTGTACTGCATGCTTGTAAATCACATCCCATCACTATCAGCGCTATTATCATCATCATCTTAAACACCTTACCCGCCATTTTCTCTTGCAAGTTATTTTTTTGGCTCAACGCAAAATTATAAGGCTAATTTTTTATTGTGTGTATATAAACGATATTGAGGAAGGTGTTTATATATATATATATATATATATATATATATATATATATATATATATATATATACATTTGTTATTTTCATTGCTATCTCTGTTTGGTTTGACTGAAATATTGTAGATTGTTTTTCAGTTTCTGTTTGATTTTACCTTTAACTGAATTTGGTAATTATTATTTGAATTGCATTCTCCTTGTTTAATTCTTTCTTTTCGATGTTAACTGCTAAATAATAAATATTGTTGATTTTTTTTCTTGAATTTATAGTTACTGTTTATGCGGACCAATACATTATACATGTAATCTAGTTTTTTGAATAACTATATTTGTTGTGTAATGTAAACCATCAATATTTTTTTTTTTTAAATGTAAACCATCAATATTCAAACTAGTATAATGCATATTGTTGGGAAAAAATACTTAAGCCATAAAATATGTTCGGAACGTAATAATTGGATTCATCGGATGCTTGAGTTTGTTCAATATATGTTCGGCCATTAAATATGTTCGGAGCGTAATAATTGGATTCATCGGATGCTTGAGTTTGTCCATCGTGACAAAGCTAAGTCCTCTTTACTGGATTGTTACTTGTTTGTGAGCATATGATATACGGTTCGACCGTTGAAGCACTTGTACTCGGGTTTTGTTATTCGGCGATCAAATGGAATTTTTTTCCATTCTTGAAACAATATATGATCGATACCTTCTAAAATGCAAAAATAGATTAGTTTGGAAGCCTGAATCATAAAAGTTGAAGTAGAACGTGATCCTGTGTCGACAAACCAAAAGATAAGGCGGGTCCGGGCTCGGGTTAACGGGTCGCAGCCGGGTCACTTATCTCATGTGGGCTCAAGCCCATGTCTGTGTTACAAGAGTTAAAGAGAATATGCTTTGGGCTGTACTTTGTCGTGGCCCATACAGGAACATATATATTGCTCTAGGTTTTACAGAAAACCTAACGTGAAGAACAGAGGCAAACAGAGGAAGAACTTGGTCAAGAGTTATCTACGGTTCTGTCTTCGTAGAGAGGGTTTGTGGTTTAGCAGTTAGTGATTCTTCTTGCTTTCGTCTAGAGGGTTCTCTCCTTTGATAACATCTGCAAAAGGTTAGAAAGAGAGACATAAGAGAAAGCTTGTAAGAGAGAAATCACAGTTTAACAAACACTCTTGTAATCACTTGATTGTGGATTGATTCTAGTGGATTGAGAGTGCCGTCCTCTCCCAGACGTACCGAAAGGGAACTGGGTTAAAAAGTCTTGTGTCTTATTAATATCATCAACAACAAACGTGTCAAGGTGAATTGATCGTAGTTAGCTTAATCACATTAGCTAAGTTTGAGGTTAAATCAACACAGTAAAAACCCTTGTGCCACTACAGGTGTTGACAGCTCAGCTTTTGTAAGCTTCCTGGAACTGACACGTCATTTAAATCGTCCAACCAATAGAAACATTCTAAATAATACCAGTCAGCTTCTTTACTTGCCACGTCACTCAGTTTCTTTTTTTTTCTTCAAAACGTCTCTCTCTACTCGCTCAATCTCCGTCGTCTATGTTCTTTTGGCAAGCGATTCCGGCAACAGTCTCCAGGTCTCTGCTACTATGTCTTTAAACGAGTAAATTTGCGCAGAAAAAAACCAAAATTGAAGCTTAATCCGAGTCAGGTGGTGTTCTTTCCACGGATTTGGATCAGAGAGAGGAGATTTATGGGGGTTAAGAAAATAATTTAAATTCCAGATTTTGAAGTTTATGAACGACTGAGGGTGGAAGGAGAAAACGATTCACCAGCTCGTCCTTATTTTTTATCTGATCCCTCCCTCTCCTTTTGCTCAAAGTCCTCCTTCATTCTTTGAAGAGGACATACCCTGAATTGGATGTGATTGGTGGTAACGTTGTGACGACTAATTAGGCGCAGAATTTGATTCAAGCTGGTGTTGATGGGTTAAGAGTTGGTATGGGATCTGGTTTGATATATACCACAAAAGAGGTTTGTGCAGTTGGTCGTGGACAGGTAAACTGAAAAGCTCTGAATCCTACTGAAGGACACATGTTTAAAACTTGACTTGACTGGAAAACATAATCAAGAAGAAAACCTGCAGCTCACATAGGGATAATGAATAAGACCAGGGAATTTGAGGTTTGCTCTTGGCTATTATCTTATTACAACAATCATGAGTACAATGTGTGTTCAATCTTGATTTTTTTATTTTGTTTGTGTGGCTTTTATGAGTTTTTGAGCTTATTCAAGGAAGCTAATCTCTTTCTCCTTTTGGGTCTCTGAGTTTTTGTAGCACTTATGATTCGAACGTATACAAGATTGCAAAGGAAAGGAACATAACTCTCTTCTGGGTAGGAGAATTGACATGGCAGCAATGCTTGTCAAAGACATGGGATGCCAAAAGATTAATGATTTTCTTGGCCTCAAGTGTAACTCTTGTCAAAAAGGCAAGTCTTTTTTTTTTATCGTAGAACTATAGTCTCTTTGATTTCTCAGCTGATGATTTCTTTGTATTTCAAAGTTACTCGATTAATTTTCCGAAACCAATCCGATTTTAGAATGGGTCCTTAATCTAATGATATCTCAACTAATTATTTTCTTTGGTTTGTCTTAATGCCGATGGAGATATCCAGTCTTGGCCTCGGGTAATCAAAAGCTATAACGAAGGCTGAAATGCAACGAAAGATCATCTATATGTGTTTTTATATTAACTCTTCTATTGATAGTGCTATGATGAGTTCATGAAAAAATTAGTTTGAATGCTCATCTGATGTTTTTTTGTTTCTCTTTTTTCTTCTGATTCTTGGTGTGTTTCAATACTCATCTCATGTTTAAATGTTTTAGCTCTATATAATAATGATGTGCTCCAAAAAAATTGAAATATACTATCTGTAAAAAACCTTTAATTTAAACGGATTATTTTTTCAACATAGATATATTAATTCAAACACAAGAAAAGATTAAATGACATTCTTCCGCAACGAAGAGCGGGTATTTACCTAGTTGGATATTAAAAACCTCACATAGAAGAAGAGCCAGACTTATAATTAACCATTTTAGTCATAAAAATTTGAATATGGTTATGCGCAGGGCCGGCCCTCCGCACAGCCTAACGAAACATTAGTTTCAGCCAAAAAAAATTTTTGGTTTAATAGTATTGAAAATAGGCCCCCGATTTTAATTTATTTTCACTTCACTGAATAGCCCCCAAATTATTAAACATCTAATAACTCCTCTTTATTAGCTTGAGCCCCCTAAATTTCAGGGCCAGCCCTGGTTATGCGGGTGCATGAGCTGTTGTAATAGAATGAAATCCGACTCTTCTTCTACTTCATTTTTTTTTTTTAATATTTGCTTAGTCATACCAGATTTTTAATAATAATAAAAAAAAAATACTAAAATTGGGTTTGTAGTAATTAAGACTTAAGAGGTGGAACTTTTGTTGTACAATTTGATTCTCCGGTTAATCTCTTTCTCCAACTCTTCTTTTCCTCCCACTTCTTCCACTTCCTGCACCATTCCAAAAACCAAACCATATATAACAAACAAAAGTCAGTTTTACAAAAATATAATTAGATGCAATTATCATTTATCACTAGCAATCTCTTAATTTACAAGGGTTTAAGATTCTTGCCTTGGGTCCAAGAAACAGCCCATATGGTACACCCTTGAATTTGTCTGTGTGGTGTAGCTGAATACAAACAATATCGATTTTAGATAAATATTCTAAAGTCTGTACTAATTATAATTAAGACCATGGGATTATGTTTTATGGTATAAAACCTGGTGAGCGGCGGCGACCTTTCGGAAGTAAGGGACGTCGGCAATAGGACCCACAGGGAATCTCTTGTGCACGAGTCCATCGTGGACGAACATGTAGGCGATCCCAAACGTCGTTATTCCCAGTCCCTAAACCCATATAAAAAGAAAACAGTCAGCATTAGCAAAAATATACAGAGATACTATAATATATTTTTTGTATTAAATAAATGCAGTACGTGTATAAAAATTTTGTTAGCATTAGCAAAAAAGATTATGCATTATTTATGAATAAAATATCTTCAAATAGATAGGTTAGAGTTGTTTTAATTTTATGTTGTTTTTTAACACGGTAATCTTCATCTTACATAATAAATGTCATTCTACTTTTTCACACTATGAAACAACCATTAAAAATTGCACTATTATATTTTTGTAAATACATTAATAAAAGATTTATTTCTAATTAATACACTAGTATATATAATAAAATTAAAACTGGATTTTTATAAGTAAAATTGCCAAGTAACACTCTTTGTAAAAAACGAGAGAGAGTAAATTCTTAGATGAAACATAATTTTATATGTATGATACATTAGTTTCGGTTTTGTTCATAGCATTTTGGCTACTTTAAGCCAAAATTTTGCCATCTACCTAATGAATCCACTATATTATACAGAAATATTACTCGTGTAGTAGTTTAATTTAATTTAACTCATGTTTTTGGGGCGGTGGAAAAAAACCCACATAATTATATACTTTCGGTTTCGCCTTCGGTGTAATAAAAAAAAAAAGGTAAGATAAAGTGCAAGAGTCAAAGACCAATTATTGTTGCTGCTCCCTGATTTTTGTTGAGTTTCGGATATGGTCGAAGAAAAGAGAGAGACAAGAACTTACGGCACCGAAGCAAAGACCAGAGACAAGTCCTTTATTGAAGAATCCATAATAGAGAAGACCAATCGCAGGAACCGCGTTTATTATTGCAAACACATCGTTTAACTCAAACGCTCCTTCTCTAGGTTTATGATGAGACTGCCACCACAAACAAAAATACGATAAAACATCACAAAGATGATTTTGATTTTGTAGCAATAAACTGGTAAAATCCAAAATACCTCATGCATGTTCCACAAAGAAGCGTGCCACAAAGCTCTATGTGCCCATCTTGCCCAAAACTCCATCCCAACCTTTAAATCCAAACATTATTTTTTAATTAAAAAGAAAAAAGAAAAAGAGACTAAACAAAATGTGAAATGTTTTTGCGTTTAGGGTCACGTTTTTAAGTCCATTAGAAAATCTGGTAACTAAATTGAAATTGGAACTTACGGCGGCACCAACGGAGAGAGCAAATGTACCTAACATTTCTGATACAGGCACTTGACCTCCCTAAATAAAATAAAAAATAAAAAATCGAGTTTCAGTTTCAAAACTCGTACGAACAAAAATATTGATTTTCTTTATTTTTTATTTTTTCTTTTACCTCCATTTGCCAGGAAAATCGGTAATAAACGGCCATGATAGCCATGGAAGTAATACCAAAGCTCGACATCACAGCCGCGATTAGATAAGTGAATCTCTCCGATTTCTTCCTCTCCGCTTTCTGTAGACGCCGCGACGTCGCCAAGGTCTCAGAAGAGCTCGTGCTTTCCGGTCTGTCGTCCATGGGAGAGCTCTGTTTCCGATCGTCGACGACGAAACAGACGGTGAGGATCTTGCGCTGTTTAAATCCGTTAAATCGGAGAGATGGAGGGAAAACGGCGTCGGATGTAGTGTGGTTGTGGCGGGAGTTAGAGGAGGAGAAAGCTCGGTTGAGTGGTTTGAGTGTTACGGAGATTGATGAGAGTCCTGCCATAGAAGGAGCTATTAGAGGTAGAGAGAGGGAAGAATAGAGAAGGCCGTGACGATGATGTGTGGTGAAGGTTACAGAGACAAGAGTTAAATGCAGAGAGGCCACAATTTTTCTGTTTCGGTTGTGCTCTTTTTGGTTTATTGGGAGTTGAATTACAATAACAATTTCAAATCCAAATATGTAGTTATTAGTTTATTACTAACATTAGCTTTAAATTAGAATAAAAATATAATTTTTTTTATGGAGATTTGTTACTATGATTGATTTGAAAATCCCATTTGAAGCATATGTAAATGAAAGAAATTCACATTTTCTTTCGTAGAAAACAAAGCACATGAAACAAATATAAAAAAAAAAAAAAAAAAAAAAAAAAAAAAAAAGTGACAAGAAAGGAACGTTCACACATTTCGCTAGTGGCTTTTGAGTTTTGAGGTAACGAAAGGTGATGAGCCATTTTCTAGGATTTTCCCACGTCGTCGACAGCGAATCACTCCCACTTCTCTTAACTAACTCCACGTGGCCTCTTTTTCCACCGAATAGACGAGGAGTATCACCATCTTCCATGTGTCGAATCTTTATTGGTTTATCTATTTCATCGGATTACACATGTAAGCTAAACGAGGTATACAAGTGATTTTTACTACACAAGTACACAGTTAAGTTTTCAAACTATTGCCATTTTTTTTTGCGATAATGTTTTCATACCAAGAACTGTCGCTCGGTGCGCTTGTGGTCCGACGCAAAGAAAGAGCCAAGCAAAGCCATCACAAACCGAGTCCAAATTATTTGTGACGTAAGGATCAAGGTGGTGTAGCTTTCTACAAGGAAAGTAGAAATATGACTATATGAGATATAGCTTTAGAAAATAAATGGGTAACAATCTTCACCTTGTAACATTTGAGCAATTGTTTTGATCATGTAGAGAGATTGATTCATCCCAAAAAGGATACATCTACAAAAGTAAAAGAATAAAACATTTGATTCGGTTATCCATCCAAACCGGTGACCCATTTTTAGGTGAGATTCTAGCAAATACAATCAAGCTAACTGCAAGAAGATGCATCCACGTCAGCTTCCAATTTCTTTTTCACTACAAAAAGCATTATTGTATTTTGCTTTTTCATTACAAGAACCTAAATAGCAAACGTATCACTGTATTAGGAACATGACAATTGACATCTCATATAGTAGTGAATATTTTCTTATAAGATGCATGCTTGTGTGGATTCTTTATAATTAGTTCAAATGTAACATTTCCCGTGCACCTCATCTTTCTAAACGCTTTATTCTTGTTACATGTTTTGTATGAATTAAAAGTTCACAACATTATAATATGATACAATACTACATTTGTTACATCTTTTTGATTTTACCTTTTAGCTTTTAAGATTCTTACTTCCATACACACTTCACATATTTCCTTGCTTATAAAGTTTGACATGAGAGTTTATTGCCCTTGTTACTTTTCTTATGCTTTTAGTTTGTGCTCGAATTTGCAATGTTCGTTTTGTTTTAAAGGTTTGGCAGCTTCTAGCCTAACAAAAGATAACATGATATTTTCTCGAATTACATTGATATTGTGCGTCACCTGAACTTTTATATAGTTTCAATTTCTAGGAAATTAACGCAAACCGTTCGGATATGTAACTTCACTGAAATCACTATCAAAATTGACTAGGAGAGAACCCGCGCAATGCGCGGGTTTATTAAACCAAATATTTTTAATTTAATTATTCAGAACATTAGATTCGAATATATCATTTGTTTTTTACTCGAATATATTAGATTCTGTAAGTTTTGCATTTTGTTTTTTTTCATATAGTTTTAAAATTTAGTTGTTATTTACGTGAAATCTTATATAGACTCATAGTGAATAGTTTCATATGTTTTTTGTTCTTTTATACAATAATTTATCGACTGGAGTTGAGTTCTTCTAATTTTCCTTATACTAACAATCATTATAGATTGATTATTATCCTACAGACTCATAGATAATAATAATTGCAATCCTTTTTAAAAGGAAATGAAATGAGCTAATTAGCCAGTAAGCCCATTTAAAGCTACCATGGAAACGAAGAGGTCCGATAAATAATCAAGCCCATCAAAACGAACAGCATTACACATAATTTTGATTTAGTTTTTTTTTTTTTTTTAATACGAAAACGACGTCGTTTTGGTGTAAGACGAAAAAAAAAATAAAGCGCAAAACGACGTCGTTTTGGTGTTAGGCGAAAAAAAAAAAAAAAAGAGTGCCACGTGTCAAAGGCTGGAGATTGTCCAAGCCTTATTAGTTATGTAGATTTATCACCGTGTAAATGTCATTATTCAAAACTTTTAGTTTATGATATATTTGAACACTTCAAAAAACTATCATCAAAATATCTAATTAGCTTCTCTCCGCACTGTTAAGTGTTAACCAAACCAGCCTTGTATGCTGCCAAATCATGGTATTACTTAAACCGACTTTAAACCAACAAAATAAAACAACTTCACAACAAAAAAAAAAAGAACAAAACTCAGATGTGTTTTTCTTTTTAATTGGAAATTCACCTTCGTATTTGAAACCCTTATCTTACCCTTAACCTGCAAATTAGGCTTGGGCATTTTTATCCGGACCCGAAATATAGAACCGAACCCGACCCGAAATAGATAGAACCGAACCGGATCAGAACCAACACAAATATCTGAATGAGTCCAAAATTCTTATACCCGAAAGAACTGGACCCAAACCCGAACCGAACCAAGAACCGAATGAGTATCCGGAATATTGAAAATATAATTATATTTCTAAAAATATTAGTTATATTTCTAAAAATATTAGTTATATTTAGACTTAAAATAACCAAAATATGTAAAATTACAATTATAAACCTAATATAATAGTTAAATTTAGAAAGAAATAATTAAAATATTCAAGAAATCCAAAAATATTTAGTTATATTTGTTAATATTCAATTAGTTTTGCTAAGTTTAATAAAATTTCATTTAAATGAAACAGTTTTTTATTTTTATTTTATTTTCTGTAATAAAATTTGGATACCCGGAACCGATCCGGAATAGTACTAAAATTTATAGAACTGAAAAACCCGAAATCCGAAAGGAACCGACCCGAACACGATCCGAATAACCGAATGCCCAGGCAGTGCAAATAATTAGAAGATATTAATATAGAGAGAGATACACGTAATCGAATATTCTCCAACGCGTCTGTAGTAGTTTCCGTCGGGCTCTTTTTACTTCGTCTCGAGGGTAATCGATCGCTTCTTCTTCTTCTTCTTCTCCCTCTCTCTCTTCTCGCGAAATCATGAGTATGGAGGCATCGGAGCTACAGGATCTCTCTGACGACGCCGATTACGCTGCATCTCAACAACAGGTTTGCTATTCTGATTTCTGACTTCCTCGTTGCTTTCCATTTCGCAGTTTTTGAACAAGTCAATCGTAATCGCGATGAAAAAAATTCTCCGCCAAGCGAAGTCGTACTCGTTCTCTTTCGTTTGCTCTATTTTGAGTCGATCACCAAGTTAATTTCCCGGTGGATTGATCGTTTTGATTTGCTGATTTGTGCAAGGGATCGGCGAGCATGATGCGGTGCGACAGCGAGAAGAGAAGTTCGTCTAGTGAACACGAAGGCGCCGAATTGATATATTTGAAGGATAATGTTGCAATTCATCCCACACAGTTCGCATCGGAGAGGATTAGTGGGAGATTGAAGTTAACTAAGCAAGACTCTACTCTCTACCTGGTAATCACTGCAATTCTGTTTCCTTCCTTTGTTGAAGTCTTTTCTATTCACCTGCTTTAGATTTCAATGATTTTGTTTGGTTATGATCCAAGAATTAAGAGGATGAATATATTCTGCTTCCATTTTTTTTTATCTGTGTGATGGCTAGTCGTGGACTCCGTACAAGGGACAAACCTCAAATGCAAAGCTATCAGAGAAAGGTAATCAGGACTTTTGAACTTAATTAGTATACTCTATGTTGTGGTGCTGAAGAAAATGGCTTTAACTTTGTTCTTAGTTTCTATTTCTTTTCTAGACAGGAGTCTTTATACCATCACAGCAGTTCCGTTCACGGAAGTGAGGTCCATCAGGCGACACACTCCTGCTCTCGGATGGCAGTATGTGATTGTTGTGCTATCTTCTGGTAAGCAAAGACTTAGGCTGTTGCGTTCGTTGAGATTTATTCATATTGAAAATCTTGAAACACTATTTAGGATTATCAATTGCAGCAACAGTGGGATGTGATTCTCTTTTCTCTTCACAAGTCGATTATCTAAGAAACTGATAATCGTTTGAAATGACCTGCAGGACTTGCATTTCCACCTCTGTACTTCTACAATGGCGGAGTCAGGGAGTTTCTGGCCATGGTGAAGCAGCATGTTTTTCTTGCAAGGTTTGTGTCTGATGTGAAATACCTTCTGTCCCTGGCATATATTGATATGCTTATTTATGGAAAGCATGTCTTCACATCTGCTGGGTTACTATATCAAAGTAGCTTAGGGATGCACAATGTATTGTTACTTTCGGATGGTTTTTATAGCCTTTGTTACTTACTCATAGGCTTTGTGGACGACCTAAGTTTATCATCGTATGGAACTGGATGTGTCGTTACATAGTTATGCCATAAATAATAGAAACTTACATAGTCTTAGCTTTGTATAGGTCGTCAGAAGATGCAAATGTGTTCCTTGTGAATGATTTTCAGAGTCCCTTGCAGGTAATTATATCAAACTATATCATGTTGAGTGGAGTGATGATTTTGGTTTATTGTATGTGCTAATACATTTTATGATTATATCCGACAGAGAACTCTTTCTTCATTGGCGCTGCCAAGTTCACTGCCTGTTGCAAGTGGACAATCTTCATACCCATCAGACGGAGGATCTTCGAGTGAAAATCAAGGGAGAACAAGTGCAGGTGCCGATAACAGAGTTTCCCAGTATGGAGTGAGAAAGCAGAAGAGTCATGATCCTACTCGTGATCTTTCAATTCATCTTCTAGAGAAATTTTCTCTGGTTACTAAGTTTGCTAGAGAAACAACCACTCAGTTGTTTTCTGAAAACAATGGCTTTGGTTCCGTTGACAAGAGATGGAACAACCAACCTGTGCATAATTATCCTGAAAAGTTGTCAAATATTGCTGAGGAAAAACATCATGAAAGTTCTCATAGTTACCCTGAAAAGGAGCCTCTTTATGATGAAGAACCTCCCATTGACCTTGTTGATGTCCCTGCTGATCCCTTAGAGGTGAGGACTATTTTTATTTTACTCCTTTTTTATAAGCATTAGCAAGTTGGTGGAAATTATACCCGTATCTTGTGACCTCCCTGTGTGTCATGATGCAACATCTGGTTTTTTCTTTCATCTTTTAGATACAGAGTGTCATTTATCTTAATTGTGTACTTCTGTTTCATTCAAGGGGTAATGATTTTGCAGGCATGTTAAGCATAGATTTAAACGCTCAGCCTTAGTTGATAATCACTTCTGCATTTTATGTTGATGCTTCACCTTGTATTAGCAATACTGTATAAACATTTTCGTATGGAATGCTTTTCATGCTTCATTAACACCAAGTATCTGGAACTGGTGATTAACTGGCCACTCGTAATGGCACATACGTGTTGAATAGAAAACTTATTATAGATTATGCCCTATGATTCTTCCTCCTTTGCAGTTTAACAAGTTGAGTTTGGTGTGGGGAAAGCCAAGGCAGCCACCAATGGGGCATAAAGAGGTAACCACTTTCGATATCCGCAATTTTCTAATTCTGGAAAGTTCAGAGAAAAAATTCTGTTGGGTGCTTTGTTCCCATTTTTAACTAAATTTCTTACAACTATCACCAAGCATTGTCGTAAAGTGTAAATTATCGACAAAGTAGGTGCACCCTGGTATAAACTAAGCTAATAAGCTTTGCTTCTTTATTTGCCAAGTGTAAACGCATAAGTTTTCTATTTTCTTTTCATCTTCGTCTTGATTCAAACTTTTCTGGTTCTCAGTTCACAGCATTCTTGGATTCTGAAGGGCGAGTTGTGGAATCAAAGGCTCTTCGAGAGAGAGTTTTCTATGGAGGCATTGAGCACCAACTGCGAAGAGAGGTTAACTTTTCAATTTCAGATTATTAAAATTAAAATTTGCGTATCAATATGCAGATTGATTTTCTAACTTAGGATCACCACTACAGGTCTGGCCCTTTCTCTTGGGATATTATGCATTCGACTCGACATACGCGGAGAGAGAGTACCTTCGAGCTGTCAAAAAAATGGAATATGCAACATTGAAACAGCAGTGGCAGGTTTGTTTATCAGTATATATCACACATCTTCTAAATTCCTTAATTACCTGTGTGTTCCTTGTCCCAGTGGTGTCAAATGAAACTGTGAGGCGTTTTTAGAGTAGCTAATTTCCCTTATATTTGCTTGCACTATTAACAAGTGTATGTTCTTTCTGACAGAGCATCTCCCCTGAACAAGCAAAAAGGTTCACCAAATATCGGGAGAGGAAGGGGCTGATAGATAAAGATGTGGTAAGAAGATTTTGACAATATTGACTGATGTGGTTTGCCCTAATCATCGAACTCCTATTGAGATAAATTCCTGGTTTATTTCTTCTTGTGTAGGTAAGAACTGATAGGGCATTTGAATACTATGAAGGCGATGACAATCTGAATGTCAATATCATGCGTGATATTCTGTTGACCTACTCCTTCTACAATTTTGATCTAGGTTACTGCCAGGTACTTTCATCAATTTTCGAACTTCACTCTTAATACTGAATTATAAGTTGGGCGTGTCCTTGCTGTATCTTTCCATAGTTTTGTGTGTGTGTTGTGTGGCTTCACTGACAAATGTTTTTTTCTGGTTGTTAGGGAATGAGTGATTATCTGTCTCCTATCATGTTCGTGATGGAGGATGAATCAGAATCCTTTTGGTGTTTTGTGGCACTGATGGAACGCGTTGGTCCCAACTTTAACCGTGACCAAAATGGGATGCATACTCAGCTCTTTGCTCTCTCAAAGGTCCATAATTTTGTCCTCTACAAGTTAACATTTTGCATTTCTTACTTTCTATCGGCATTTCAGAATCAATGTTTGGATCTGTATCTGTATCCTTTTCATTTTCAATCCCACAGCTGGTGGAGT